GGAGTGGGTTGCCATGTCCTCCTCCAGGGGATCTTCCCGACCCAGGGATTGAACTCGCATCTGTCTGCATCTGCTGCACTGCAGGTGGATTCTTTACCCACTGGGCCACCTGGAAAGCCTGAGGGTCTGTGAGGACTGTGCTAATCCTGCCAGGGACCCTCACCCTCCAGGCAGAGTGGGGGAGTGCAGCCAGCTGGGGGACTGGTCGATATGCCCCTTGTGCACGTGCGCCCGCTCAGAGTCAGAAGCTGCCCCCTTCTCCTGCCCAGACCCCTGGAGATGGGGCTGCAGCCTTGGCCTGGAGACACCACCCACCTGACGGGGACTCAGCTGCCCCTCAGGTCACCATCAGCGAGTCCCTGTGGCCCAGAAGAGTCCTTGGCTTTGAACCCAGCAAGGGCACCCGAGAGGTCACCATACCCCTCCCCCAGCCTCTCCTCCTGACCCCTCTCCCAGGAGGATGCTGTCTACCTTCCAGAGCCTGCTGCCGACCCATCACTTAAAGTCCAATTATCCCGTTCACTCTGCACATCAGGGAACATCCTCTCTTGACCATTCTAAGATGGACAAACAGGTTCCAAGGACCGAAGCAGCTTCCAGGCCGGAACCGGAAGCCCAGTCTCTCTGAGTCTTGCTCTCCCCTCTGTGGCATGCTGGGCGGGGTTGGGGGTAGAGGAGACAGGCGAGGGGCAGAGGGCAGGGAGGGGACCAGCTCTGGGGGCAGCAGGCCCACTTTGGACCTAACTCGCTGTGTGGCATCTTCCCAGGGTGCCCCTACTTGGCAAACCTCCCTGTCCACGGCTGTGTTCATGGACTCTGAGCAGCCCAGCAGCTGCAGGCTCATAGCCTCGGCAAAAGCACCCATTTCACCAGCCGTCAGCCCAGCAACATCTGCCGTGGTGGAAGGGCCCTCCTTCACCTGAGCCTGGAGCCCAGGCTTTCTGCATCCTTCCCAGGGCCAGCAGCCCTTTCTTGGGGTCTCCATTCCCGGCCTGCCCTCCTCCAGGGCCTGGCCTCGTGACTCCGTACTTGCCCCCCAGATTCTTGCCTGGTAGACAAAGACCCTCCTACCCCAAGTCACGAAGCGGCTTCCCATGACCGAAGCATGCAAGACCAACAGCAACGTTCAATTTAAAACTCCTCCGACCTGCACCTCGGGGCCACGGCACCTCTGTCCACGACGTGCACAGGATTCCAGACCCACGAGGAAGGCCAGCCCTACAACCCTTATGTTTCTCCACAAAGGGTGGACCTTAAGAGCCTCCTTGGTGATCTGTGTTGCTAACGAAGGGATCTCAGCTGGGGTCTGAAAATCTGGGCTGGACGATCCTCAGCCAAGTAAGACACCCCACCCACTGGCTTTGGTGTTGCCGGGCCCCCGGCGGGAGTCTGTGGACAGAGCAGGGAGGGATGGAGGGGTCTAGTATCTGCTGGGTGGTTCTGCAGGAGCTCCAGTCTCCTCTCCTTTCTCGGAGGGGCCGCCAGGGCCGGGGGAGGGTAGCAGGGACAGCAGCTGGCCTGCGACTTCCGAGGGCAGGCTCTGTCCCCAGCGGCCACCCAGAAATACCGCAACTCTCCTTTCTGCCTGGCTGTGGGCTCTGCACGCCAACTGGCTGGAGATGCACGATCACCTCCTGCAGCATGCTGGCGGGGAAACCGAGGCTCAGAGAGGCTTAGCAACTGGCTGAGATCACACAGCTTGTAACCGACAGGGGAGGGATTCAAGCCCAGGTCTCTGTGTGACCGGCCTGGTTTCCCATTTCTTCTGGCTTCCCCGCCCTCCCCACTTCCTTTAGCCTTCTGTCCTTTCGCGTGTTCTCCACCTAACCCGCTGGTCCAAGGAGGGTGATGGGAGGGGAAGCGTGTCCTGGGTGTGTGTCTCGTTAGAACTGGGTGTCTGGATGGTTGTACGTTCATAGAGGTGTGCCCACCACCACAGTCAACTTCAGAATATTTCCATCCCTCTGAAAAGTAAAGCCTCTGCCTGCAAAGAGGGAGACCCGGCTTTGATCCCTGGGTCGGGAAGGTCCTCTGGAGAAGGAAATGGCAACCCACTCCAGTACTTTTGCCTGGAAAACCCCATGGGCTGCAGCCCATGGGGTCACAAAGAGTCGGACACAACTGAGTGACTTCACTCTCACTTTCACCCATTACCATCCCTCCCCCCGACCCCCGCTCCTGGCAACCAATGGGCCTTCCCGTCTCTGTAGTGGATTTGCCTACTCTGGACATTTCATATAAAGACAGACATACCATACGTGGTCCTTTGTGTCTGACTTCCTTTATTCAGGTTAAGGCTTTCAACGTTCATCCTCGCTGTAGCAGGGGTCAGCACGTCGTAACTCTTTATGTCCAAATAACTGTCCACTACAGGAACAGACCTCATGGCCTCCAGGGTGGTCACCACCTTGGGGCTGTTACACATAATCTGCTCTGGGCGCTCCAGCACAGGCCCTTTTGTGTGGACGTTCCCCTTTCCTTACTGGTCATACGGTAAGTCTGCATTTAACCGTCTGAGGAACTGCCAGACCGCTCCCCTAAGAAGCTGCACCACTTCACCCTCCCACCAGCAGCTTCTCCACATCCTCGTCAATATCGGGTACCGCTGGTCCTTTTCATCACGGTCACCCCGAAGGGCTTCCCAGGTGGCGCCGTGGTAAAGAATCCACTGGCCATGCAGGAGATGCAAGACATACGGGTACACTCCCTGGGTCGGGAAGATGGCAGGGACTGAAGGAGGATGGCATGGCAATCCACTTCCGTTTTCTTGCCTGGAGAACCCCCTGGACAGAGGAGCCTGGTGGGCTACAGTCCACGGGGTCACAGAGTCAGACACGACTGAGCATGCACTCATCCTGATGGTCGTGAGGTGTGTCTCACTGTAGCTTGGGTCTGCATCTCCTGATAGCTGCCGATGCTGAGCATCTTTTCACGTCTTTGTTCACTAGCTGGATATCGTCTTTGGAAAAATGTCTATTCAGATCTTCTGTTCATTGAATTTGGCTTTTTCTGATCAAGTTATAAGAGTTGTTTATATATTCTGGATGGGCTTCCCAGGTGGTGCTAGTGGTAAAGAATCTGCCTGCAATGCGGGAGACCTGGGTTTGATCCCCGGGTTGGGAAGATCCCCTTGAGAAGGGAAAGGCTACCCCCTCCAGTATTCTGGCCTGGAGAATCCCATGGACTGTATAGTCCATGGGTTGCAGAGTCGGACACGACTGAGCGACTTTCACTTTCATGTATTCCAGAAGGGCTTCCCAGGTGGCGCTAGTGGTAAAGAACCCGCCTGCCGATGCAGGAGACATAAGAGATACATGTTCGACCGCTGGGTCAGGAAGCTCTGCTGGCGGAGGGCATGGCAACCCACCCCAGTATCCTTGCCTGGAGAATCCCACGGACAGAAGTGCCTGGCGGGCCACAGTCCATAGGGCTGCAAAGAGTCGGACACAGCTGAAGCGACTTGGCATGCATGCACACACTTGTTCTAGACACAAGCCCATCCTCTGATATATGATTGGCAGAAATTGTCTCCTGTTCTGTGGTTTGTGCTTTCATTTGCTTCATAATGCTCTTTGCAGCGTAAGACTGCTTCATTTTGAAGAAATCCAATGTATCTTCGTCTTCTTGCTTGTGTAGTTAGTGTCATTTCTAAGAAACCCCCAAGATCACAAATCCTTACCCTGATAAAATATTTTCTTCTAAAAGTTCTACCATTCTTTAACTTTTAACTCTTATTACGATTTTACATAAATAGAGTCACCTCTCCCTCCCTGGCACTTTTATCACAAGATGACATTTCTTTGTCTATGACTCTGGAACAACAGGCTTATCTCACTGGGTTTGCGCAGCTTTTAATATCACGATTGTTTTGCCCGTTGTCCGGTGAGAGCAGGGCGTGAAGGACACCGAGTCCTCAGCCGCATGGGGAGACCCGCCCAGCCGCCAGCCTGGAAATTCCATTTGAGAAGCGAACACCGTCACATGTCTCAGCACCTGGAATGCGCTGGGGTTTTCAGAACAATCCAGTCCACAGTGCAGGTCGGGGGATGTTATCTGACCCCTAGCCAGCCGGAGCTCTAAGGCCAAGAGCGAGACCTCCATGTGGGGCTGCGTCCAGCCAGCCCGGGGAGGCGGGGGCACCCACAACTACACATGTGGGGGGACAAACATGGAGAGTCTGCTAGGAGGGTTCAGGGCACCCTGGGAGGGAAGAACTGTAAACACCCCCATTTTATGGAGGGGGTCCAGAATGTGCCTCTCCCCCTACCCCAGAGCAAGACAGCGCCCAGACCAGGCCCACAGTGGGGTCAGGCCAGAGGCAGGTCCGGCTTCAAACCTTTGCTGCAGCTCACCCGGCACCCCAGGGGCTGCTTCCTGCATAAAATCCCCCCTGAGCCTGCAGAGTGTGGGGTGCTGACAGAGACACACGGACGAGGGTCCCAGATCCTGCCTCCGGACAGACAGAGGACGCCAGAGGCGGGGACTCTGCCCAGCTGCCCAGAGACAGGGTCTGCTGGGCACTGAGCCTCGTACCAGGACGAGCCCTGAGCGCCGGGCTGGGAGCCCTTCAGGATGGAGGCTGGACTCTGCCGGGGCCCCCAGCCCTGCACGCCTCAGCTCTCAGAGGCTCTCCCCGCTGCACACCCCCTCCCCCGGCTCCGGGTGTCCAGGCTTGTTCCCCTGCGCCCCCCCGACTCCGTCTCCTCCTCCAGCCCCTCCCCCTGCCCCAGAGCTTTCTTCCGGTCATCTGTCATCTGCGTCCGAGGTGGGGCTGGAATGGATTGGAAGCTCCTTAGCGTTTCTTTCTACCTTGATGGGCCCTGCTGTTCGCATCAACAACAGAAGGACCGAAGTCATGACGATATCTCTTAAGGCTGGTTTCTCAGCCTCGGGCCCAACCGACATTCTGGGCTGGACCACGCTTCTGTGGGCCCGCCCGGTGTACCACGGGGAGGTGAGTGGGCCGATGGTCAGAGCAGTGAGGGCAGCGAGAGCCTTACCTGTCCCTCCTCCAGGCATCCCCATGGACTGTGACCTCCGCGAGTCCAGCCGGCACCCAGGAGGCCGCGGGCGGGCGGCAGCTGGCTGAGGGCTGGAGCCTCTGTGGCCAGCACGGCCCTCAGGGGACACGCCAGAGGGTCACGAGGCAGCTGCCGCGCTCATGCCCGAGGAGGGCCGGGCCGAGCCCTGCCCGGCACACGGAAATAGACTGCCACCCCGCTCCAGAGACGCACCTGTTCCCGGGCGTCCGGGAAAGCGGCTTTGCAAGGGCAGTGGGGGAGGGTCCCCGGGGAGCTGGGTCCATCTGCGGCTCCGCATGGCCGGTCCGGCCCGCAAGGCCCCCCAGCGCTTCCCAGCCCTTGCCCGCATCCTAGGGACCAAGCTCCACAGCTGTGGCCTCTCCGCCAGTCTGCAGACAGAAACCCCCAAAGGCTCTGGGGCGGTGGTGGTGGGGGGGTGGTGCTTCCCTTCATCGCCAGCTTCTGGGGCTCCAGGCAACCCGGGCTAGCATCCACATCACTGCCATCTCAGCCCCTGAACCCACAGGGCTGGCTTTTCTCTGTATGTCCCTGCGTGTCTTTTTCTGTCTCTTATATGAGGACACCAGTCACCGGATTTAGGGTCCCCTCTCTTGCAGGAGGACCTCCTCTCCATCCTTACCCTGATTACCCTGCAGAGACCCTATTCCAAATAAGGTCACACATGAAGGTTCCGGATGGACATGAATGTCGAGGCGACTTAACCCACTCCGCAGCCCCCGTGTGCCAGACGGGAGGAGACTCAGGCTTGGGACACTCGGGGGGCCCCTAGGCATAAAGGCAGCGTGAGAGACCCCTCGTCCCCTGGGTGCCCCCTGTGGATGCCTCTCTGCGACACTCGGCGTTAAGCGCTCCGGGGGCAGAAACGCCCTGTGACCCATGAACCACACAAGCAGGAAGGCCTGCCTGGCCCCCAGCACATGGCCCCTGAGAACCTGCAGGTGTTATCCTGGCTTACCGCGCGTGTGATGGCCTAGTGGCCGCGGGCCAGAATCCCGCAGCGGAGAGGCTCAGTGGCCACGCCCTGGAGCACGGGTCATATTTTCCAGCACTCAGCTGCAGCGGCTTTTGGGGCGGGGTGGGGCACACCAGCCCTCCACGGGCAGCCAGCAGAAAGCACCTCATCCGCTCGGCTCTGAAGAGTCAGAGCGGATGCTGGCCGCCGGCTCTCCCGGTCTGATCTGACATTCTCTAGCCACACTAGGTCGTCTCTGGGGGCTCAGACAGTAAAGAATCCGCCTGCAGTGCAGGAGACCCGGGTTCGATCCCTGGGTCGGGAAGACCCCCTGGAGAAGGGAATGGCTACCCACTCCAGTATCCTTGCCTAGAGAATCCCATGGACAGAGGAGCCTGGCGGGCTACAGTCCTTGGGGTTGCAAAGAGTCAGACACGACTGAGTGGCTAACACTATACGACTAATCGCACTGGTCTGAACCTCTCCGCCCGGTGGATGGGGCAGTGGTAAGCACAGGGCTGCAGGCAGCATCAGGCCAGGCCGGCCCCCAGGTCCCGCCAGTGGGTACGGATGACACATCCCAGGAAGAGAGTGACAGCCCCGCGGGCTTACAGAGGAGAGCTTCTCTCCACTCATCTATTCTGCAGCTTCTATGCCTTGCTCGGGGCTGAAATGACCACCATGTTGGTGATGGCAACAAAGACAGCAGCCCCCGCTGAGCCCGCAGCCAGCCCCGCACCCGAGGCAGGGACCGTCACGTCCCTACTTCCCCTGTGAGGACACCGAGGCAGAGACGGGGGGGGGGGGGGGGGGGGGGGGGTAGCTGGGCCAGCTCTAGTGAACAAGAGAGACTCGCAGGCTCTGAGTCTGAGAGTCAGGCGGGAGAAGAAGGGAAACCCGGCAACTGGTGCTTGACCAGTTGGTGATATGACCAGTCGGGGTATCACAGGAGTGGTGGGCGCTCCTGGGGGGCTTGAGGGGATGCCCCGGCAGAGAGAACCCGGGGTGACTCAGAGACCAGCAGGTGGAGAGCTGCTCGACTCCGGGACGGAGGTTGGAGGGGGGAGACGGTGAGCTGATGTTCCCGGCAGGATGATGCCCTTGGCCACATGAGCCTCTGCTGGGGTGGGAAGGTGGGCAGTGGCCAGGGCAACAGACCTTCCATCAAAAACCCTGGGTCAATCTCACCCTGAGAATGAGAGAGGCTGGGGTCTGCCCAGGCAGAGAATCATCGTAGCAGGAGCCACGGGTACTGTCCATTCACAGGGCAGGCACCGCTCCCGCCCGGACTCAGTGTGGCTCAAGGCCCCCTCGGAAGGACCGCCTCCCTCTCCCATGCATCCCAGAGAAGACGGCTTGGATATGAACCCCAAGCCCGCTGCTTCCTGGGAAGCGCAGAGGCCAACTGTCTTGCCTTCCGGCCTTACCTCCCCAGGGCTGGTGCCTCCCCCACCAGGGTCCCACCCCGGGCCTGATGCCTCCTGTCCATCTGGGCTGGGGGGGCCAAGACCCCTATGCATGGCACGAGTGGCCACAACACTGCCAGAAGGGTCTCCCAGGAGATGGGAACCGTAGGCTGGGGGCTCCTTGGCCCCTGGGACCCTGGGGCAGAAATCCGCCCCAGGCCTGGTTCAGCTGGCCTGATCTGGTGTTCGCTGACCACACGAGGCCTTCCCTGGGCTCCGTGCCTCTCCAGGTATCTGCCTGACCGACCCTCAGCTCCGGGCACCTTCCCTGCCCACCCGGCCTGGCCTGCACCAAGGCCCCCGTGGAGCCCAGGGCCCCCCACCACATGCCATGACTCACCAAGTGCTGGGGCTGCCAGGCCCGTGGGAGACTGCACGTGGCTTGTGGGGGCACCTCACCTGCCCACAGAGGTTCCAGGGGTCCGGGACCCACGGCCTCCTCTCCCACGGCCTCAGGTGGTTTCCCAGGACCAGAGGCGGGGGGGCTGCCTGGGCCCCACCCCTCTTCTGTATCTGTTCTGGGGGGAGGGGGCACGAGGGGCAACAGAAGGCAGCACCCACGAGGAGGACAGGCCATGGCCGCTCAGCGTCATCGTGGGAGATTCCTGCCCTGCGGCCTCTCCAAAGTCCCCGTGTGCGCTCAAGGCGGAGGACCAGGACCCCGGTGAGCCCAAGCTAACGGTGGATGTGCACGTCCCCTCCTGGGATGGTGACCAGCTGGGGCTGTGGGGCAGCGGTCCCCCCACCCTGGACCCTGCAGGATGAGCCCCCATCTATCCCTCTGAGGATGTGGAGTGAGGGGTGAGGTGGGACGTTGTCCCTTCCCCACCCAGAACTTTCCAGACTGATTCTCAGGGAGAGCCGCAGAGAGGCAGAGCCGAGCCCTGAAAACCCACAAACGGCTGCGTCCAGGGCACAGGGGACCGGGTTCACTGCCACCGGCGGGCAGCTTCCACACGGTTCCAGCATCAGTGCACAGAGAGGCGCGTCTGCCAGGCGGTGGCCCCACATGCACAGGGGTGCACGCCTGCAGATGGGCCGGGTCCGGGCCCCCCTGCTCCTGCCCCCTCACCAGGGTCCCCTCCAGAGGCGGAGGGCTCTTCTGGCCCCGTGACTTGGTGTCAGCTCCCGCGTCTGGCTTGGTCACTGCACGCATGCAAGTGGAAGCGACCGCCTTCGGGTTCAGGCATCACACAGCTCCCTCCACTCTTCCTGCACAGAGCGCATCCCCCAGGCCAGCCCGATGGTCCCAGGAGGAAGGTGGAGGTGGGACAGGCCAGCCCCCTGAGAGCCCAGTCTGGTCAGCTGAGCTGACCGGCCAGCCCACAGGCTCCAAGCCAGGATAACTGATTGCTGATTTAGCCTCTGAGCTCTGGGATTGTTCATTCCATGGCCCCCTGCTCCTGCCCCCTCACCAGGGTCCCCTCCAGAGGCGGAGGGCTCTTCTGGCCCCGTGACTTGGTGTCAGCTCCCGCGTCTGGCTTGGTCACTGCACGCATGCAAGTGGAAGCGACCGCCTTCAGGTTCAGGCATCACACAGCTCCCTCCACTCTTCCTGCACGGAGCGCATCCCCCAGGCCAGCCCGATGGTCCCAGGAGGAAGGTGGAGGTGGGACAGGCCAGCCCCCTGAGAGCCCGGTCTGGTCAGCTGAGCTGACCGGCCAGCCCACAGGCTCCAAGCCAGGATAACTGATTGCTGATTTAGCCTCTGAGCTCTGGGATTGTTCATTCCACAGCGTAGTAGTTTCCTGTAAATCAGCACAAGCTGGTAAACAACAGTTCTGGAAGCCGGAAGTCCAAACTCGGTACCACGGGGTTGGGACGCAGGTGTCTGTGGGCAGGGCTCCCTCGGGGTCCGGGGGGAGGAGCCTTCCCGCCTTTTCCAGCTCTGAGCGGCAGCTGGCATCCTTGGCTCGCGGTGGCATCACTCCATCTCCACCCACCCTGCTGGCCTGGCCCCTTCTCCTCTGTCTGTCTGTCTGTAGCCTCCCTCTGCCCCTCTAAGAGTCACTGTGATGCCTTTAGGATATCATGCAGATAATCCAGGATAACCTCCCCAGTGCAGCCTCCTTACCTTAATCCCATCTGCAAAACCCCGCTTTTTTTCCCCAAATACTCACAGGTCCTAAGATGAGGATGTGATGTATTGGGGTGGGGGAGCATTTTTCAGCCTGCCCCCGACACAGCAATAGTTTATACGATATGTGAATACATAAGAGATTTTTTCTTTTCACCAAACAATACTTTGCCCTATTACTTGGGATGTGCTCTGCTATTTTCCTTTCTTTTTCCAGACTGGGTCTGTTCTTTTTCTATTCAATTCAACCTCTTATGTAACAAAGGCTGCTGTGACCCACTAAACCGATTTCACACCCACAAATGGGTCGCCACCTGCAGTGGAGAAAGTTCTATCCTGACTTCTACGCCTGTACCCCTGCCAGAGTGGGGGGACCAGGCAGAAATGACGGTGATTTAAAGAAAAGAGAGAAACGCGCTCTTCCTGGACACAGAGGGTGGGTGGGACTGCAGGAGCCTGGAAGGACCCCCACATGCGAGGACGTGATCCAGGCCTCCCTGCCCCATGGACGGTCCTCCACCTGTGGCCCCAGCAGG